GGTCGTATCAGGCCACGCCAGAAGCGACAAGAATATCTCGAAATTCGATGATGAAAGCGCTGAATTTATCGAGAAAGCGCTGAAAGATCGAGAAATTAGTCGATAAATATTTGAAACATTTGAACGAAGAAGATATACCGATAGTTGTATCGATAATTGTGCCTTATCGACGATATCGACGCGTAAACGTTGCCTAAATACGTTATTGAAAAGTGTAAATAAAGTAGCATAAATCTATAGTTATAGATATAGTTTTGCGAAACTACGAAAAATATATTGGAATAATAGATATCTCGCAGAAGGTCGCTACACGGAGAGTATTTTTACGATGCAAAAAAAGATAGGTGCGTAAAATTTCTTCAAACTTAATCAAATTTATAGAGTCTGTACGAAAGGAGAAGTAACGAGGACAAAGATAAGCGGATGCTCGGAATTCCATTTCACGATCACGATATGAAAAACAAAAAAAAAAAGCAGAACCTAATAAGGTAAAATGACTAAAGAAATTGCGAATAAGCCGATTAAAATACAAAACTCGGAGGAAAAATTAAAGCGAAAGAAATAAGACGAAGCTCGTGATACGACGAATCGTCGTTCGAATTCGGAAAAACGCATCGTTGCAAATTTATAAAATTTCTATGAAAAATGAACTCCGATGGTTGCAATATTAAGCTTGCTCTAGGGGAAAAAACATTTCCAAGAGAATATTTGGGTGTATTTCGTTGCACGAGGCCCTGGTATTAAAAGGACCACCTTGGCGAGCGAGCTCGGCTCTATGGTGTTCCATGGCCGTGGGGAGATCGATGAGGAACGTCTGCAGCGGCCACCACGCCCAAACCGGGAGGGAGTACCATGACTCACCCCATACAGAGAGAACCATGGGACGAGTGGGGACACCCCCGTGGCGCTGCTACGTGGCATTGAAAGTGACGAACGATCGCGCAAATTCACCCTCGCTTCTCGTCATAGTTCGACGAACGTGTGTCACGTGAGTCTTGCTTAGGGACACGCACGAAACGACCGGCGGGGATCACGTGCGTCGACCTAACCCAACAACTTAGTCCAATTTAGGAAAGGGACAGCCTTGATTTTCAACGATCGGAAGAACCTTGGGGAAGGTATTCCGATTACTCATCGACTCCGCCACGTTATATGTTTCGAACGAACGTTGAAATTGTTCCGTGATCAATACGGGTATACCATCTTACATCGCGCTCGCTGCTTAAATTTTGCTCCTTGTCGCCACTCTACTATCTTACTTTGTTACTGTACTATCGTATAGAACGATTTTACTTCGATAGCGATCGACAGGAAGTTCGCCTTAATATCTTTACATCTGTAATCGGAATATCTAAGGTATTTCTTTATATTTTTAAGTAATACGTATTTGGGATCAAAGTTGGGGGAAAAAAATAGGATCGAAATAAAATTGATACGATATAGCAAGAAATTTCGTTATCGTAGAAATCTTGGCAATTGCATACGAGCCTGGGTGCTCCTCCTTCGTTAAGGGAGTGGCTCCATTTCCTGTTGTATCTCGTTGACGTGTGTAGCTTTGACGAATAAACGTGCCAAATAAACCGAAATCTTACTCACCCGCTGAATAATCGTTTTCTCTCGTACGCGAATGACCATAAATGGAATTAGTGATTTTTCGCTTCGTATCTTCTCAACCTACTATATATCGTAGTAAGCTATTACAACCCTGCCTATGATAAGACGCGATTAGATTACGATCATCGTACCAACAAAATAGACAGTGACAAACATTTCCGATATTTTAATAATTCGATATTTTAATAAAAATTGAAAATGAAATAACTGGAAGACATTAATTAGCATGAAATGGAAAGATTTTTATTCGTTCGCGGTTGTCTTGTTTATTATCCGTTTATTATCTTGTTTATTAATTGAATATAGCATATATTCATGGGAAAATCAATGCGAGCGTTAATTAAATTAACGAAAGCGTTGCATATTATCGACTTATCGTTCGTTCGAGCGTATTGTTGCCATATAGCTTCATTGGAACAATCGGTATTCGAGAAGATAGCCGAAAATAACCGAGTATATATTCTACGAGCGCAAGGTTGCTCTGGGATTATTCTTGACGCGAAGCTTTTTGGGACGCGCTATATTACGGACTGTCGAAGAGAAATTGGCCGTGCACCCAAAGTCAATGACTTCGTGGCTTGGTTTAATTGACCCGACGACGGGATCTTTTCACGGCTTTAGGAATCAAGGCCACCGCGTATACGTATTTAACGAAGCTCGACGTGTGCGTCTCGTAGGTGTTGGACGTCTTTTTGCAGACGCATCGGATGTACGCGTAAAAGAAACACCAGAATACATTGAACGTGTCTAATTTAGTGCTGCCACAAAATGAACGTTACTATTATGAAAATTAGACTAAAATAACGGTTCGCCTAAAATCGCATACGTTCCAACGATTAATAGCGAATCGCGCGATGTATCCTGGACTATGCGTCCTCTTTTTAGAAAGTATTCTGACCCACTATCGATCAAGAAATTTCGTGAATCTTTTAAATGCAAAATTTCACGGTCCAACCTCTTCCGTAATATCCCGAGAATTGCCACGTTTTCAATTTTTACTATATTAACGTATTAACGTATTTACTATATTAACGTAACTCTGACTCGTTAATCACGATAAGGGACGATCGATTGTCTCGTTAATCACACGAAAGCTGACAAGAATATATCTACAGCTCGACATTTTTAGAAAATTTTATTTAATCGCCAACCGAGGAAAAGAAAGATTTTATTAATTTGTTAGTTTATTAATTTACTATATATCCTACACTAACGCTATAATAATAATACGCTACACCGGTACATAATAAATTTAACTTAGGCGAGAAAATTTTCAGAAACGGAAAGCAGATGCGAAGAGAACAGAACGGTAGGCAACGCAAGGAGGCGTTTTCCTTTCCTGTGGTAGAATCCTCGTTATCCTACGGATGCCGGTATCTTACGAGATAAACGTTTCCCAGACGACAAATGTGTTTCCCATTTCCTAATAATAACGGCGAGTATTCCGCGACTCTCTTTCTCGGCAGGTCTTCTGAAATTAATTAAGCTCATCAACATGCGTATCACGGTGTAATTGGAGCGACTCGTTCGGAGTAACAACTAACGAGGGTCCGCGTTCACACCCACGTATCAAGCGGAGCATGTGTAAAAGCGCCAAATATGGATCGTTTATACGGCTCTTTAAATCTTTTACTATAAACAGCCCCGATACGATTACAAGTACACGTACTTCGCTTCTCCTCATCTTTCGCAAATTATTTTCTATGAAAAAAATCTCACGCGAGAAACGATATTTTTCTATGCTCTTAATTTGTTCTCGTACTTGTACTTAACCGCGTTAAGTGGTATAAGAACGAAGCGTAGGATAAAAATTATTCGATAATTTTAACTCAAATTGTCTTTATGTCTTTATGTCTTTGACACGATAAATATACATATATTTAGCACGTAATATTAAAACGTACAATTATTTACCTTTTTATTTCATTTCTCGATATTGTTCGTCATTATGTTGCAAAATATAATAATTTCTTATTGTACATGTACGATTATGTATCAGGATTTTGAAATAAGATATCGTTTTAATAACTGTGTTTCATTAATACGTGGACTATCAAGAAAAATATTTGAGAAATTCGATATCAGATAAGAAACGTGTCTGAAAATCTTTTGAAATTTCAATGTGAAATCGGTATTGATGAGGAATGCGAAAGTGTTTTTTTAAATATTACATTTCTCGTGTAATTAAGTCGTTTGAATTTTTTTTCTTTGCTTTGCGAGCAAGATTTTATGGTGTCTAAGTAGATATGTGTTAATGAAACTGTCATGAATATTCTCCTAAGTACGTAATTTAAATATTTGAATTACGAATTCAAACTTAAATACAAATTTAAATATCGATGTATCATACTCGGGAGGATTAAACAATTGATTGTAAAAGATTCTATATGATAAATTAAAATTTAGTATCTATTATTAAATGTTACTCGATCATGTTGTCATATCAACAGAAATATTACAAGTTTAAAAGGTTAAAACGTCGGAACAAATAACACGTGCATTACGTACACATGTACCGACCGATCTTGAAATTAGCTCTGCCGCGAAGAAAAATAAGTTTGAAATTCACTGACTATGTTGAAAACTATACCTCTAGGAAGAATATTTAATTCAATGGAATCTAATGCGCTCTAATTATGGAAATATAATACTCGTTATCAAATAATTTCAGCTGACTAATTTATTGCAAAAAGACGCACCAAGGTAATTACATTAAATTGGTTAAAATTTAGGTATATTGGCCACAATATCTTACAATGAACGATATGTTAATGTCATATGCATAGTCAGTTTTAACAAGAGTAACTTATATTATTTTCTTATGTGCACTGATATATGTTTCGCCTCCGGTCGGTAACTAAATGATCGATGGTTATATCGTGGGTCGTAAGTCACGAAATTCTGCCAATACCAATTAGAAATTGTAGGTAATAGATTCGAGATATCAGGAACCTAATAGACATGCTCTATGGGAAAAACGAATCACTACTATGTGTAATATCTGAATACAAGATATTCTTACTCGTTGCAATAAAAAAATTTTCTGCGCATTTTTTATCTTTTATTTTATTTATTCCCTTCCTTATCGCTCGACTTATAGATTCGTGTGACTAATGCATTTTAAATAAAAAGATAGCGATATCGAAGCTTTCAAATTATTTAAACTATAAATTAAGATGGTTCATCTTTTTTTGCTATTAGATAGTATATCTAACATTTTTCATACAGATAAATATATTGTATATTATAGTATAAAAAAATGTATAGTTGTCTTAATATAAAATATTCTTTCTCATACCTGTTTTATTTATCTTTCTCGATCGTTTTATTTTTATCTAAAGTTTAGAACATTTTGCTTAAAAACATGTCACTTACGCACTCTACCATCTGGAGGTTGAACTATAGAGCAATAAAAATATCGCAGTGCACTGCTGATTTGTATAATCAAGCTTTGTTTTTTTCACAAACGTATATGACTTACACGTAAGCTCAACAGTATACGACGTTAATTGTTTCGACGAAAAAAAGTTATAAATATCATAATATGCAGTGGTTAAGAATATATTTGTATTAAAATCTTCTGCTAAAAGTTTAGATTAGTTCAAGGATGACTCGGGCTAACAGGTTAGTTTTTGTTGATGTATGTGTGCATTGACACTCTACCATTTAACATATATAAATGGTTGGATGTCATTCTGCTAATTCATCCTCTCTTCTGATATTTAGAAAAAGGGGTCGTGATGCGGAAGAAGAATTTAGTGAATTTATGCCATTAAGTAAAAGAATAAATAATCTTCATATTAATGGTTTATCGGGCATGCATGAAAATGTTACTGAAAATATGGATACAGACTGCTGCGGCAGAAGCTTTATGCCATCGCCAAATTATTCAGAGCTTTCTCAAGGATCACCGTTATACGACGGATGCAGTTCTAGCCAAAGTAGTTACATAACAGAATATAAACCTGATCTGGATGCAGCTGAAAATCCATTTTATTACGAAAGTAACAAGCTGCTATTTTCCTTGTATATGGAACGTGTTCAGAGAGCATCTGATTCATTTTGATATCGCTATTTTCAAATTATAATTCCTAATCATTAAGCATTTCTTGCATATCATTTTCTTCATTCCTTTTCAATGTATTTCTACTCGAATTTGAATTTTCTTAAATCGAATCAATGGAAATCTTGAAAAATTTAATGTTCAGAGCATTGTAAACAACAATCTATTATTTATTATCAAGATATTATCTCTATATTAATGCAATTGTATATATCAAAAGAGTATTTAAAATTTTTTGTCAAGCGACAGTTTGCTTGGAAAGACAGAATTAAAATTTGCATAATTATAATTAACGAATTTAGAATTTGAATGGTCTGTATTTCGTTATTATTATAATATAATATAGCAATAGCAATTGAATTAAATTGATGTTTCTATATTAATGACGTGTCGATCGATTGTATTTTTCTTATAAATATATATTAGATCGTAAAGTATTTTGAGATTGTGAAAGTATGAAATAGCATGTTTGTAATAAAAATATCTATAAAAGAAAAAAGAAAAAGACATTAGGCTTTTAATTTACTTTTATTATGTACCTATATCGTGTTGCCAGTGCATATACATACCAGTATATATATATATATTTATTTATTTATTTATTTATTTATTTACAATAAAGGACTAGACGATCGAATAGTTGTATCGGAAAAGAATTTCCTCTCTGGCTATATCGAGTGATTCATATAACGCGCGCAATAATATAGAAATATGGCGGCCATCGAAGTATCTTCGTAATATCGATTCTCGACCTAACCTCACTTCAGTCTCCGCTAGGTGCGCACAGAGTTAGTGTCGCTTTGTAGTGGTAGAGGAAACGAAGTAACTGAGAGTAAGACAGAGCGACGGACAGGTGTTTTCTGCGCTGTTAAAAATTTCTTTTTCGAAAGTTCGGGACTCCTGTAAAACTACAAAGATCATTTGTAATATCTGTAAATAGAACGGTTCTATTACGAGTTGACTTGTTTAATCTAGAAGCGCGCACGCGCCGCTTTCCCCTCGCTCTCACAATATACTCCGCGCGTAACCGCCGCCATAGTTGATATTTCTCCGATAGAATATTAATAGCAGCAGTAAGTTTTCGCGGTTAAACGTATTTTTATTTACTTGACTGAGGAAAACAAGAATGCGTTCGACGAGGGCGGTGAGACGAGGTCGTTCAAGATAAAGCCTGGGATCCGTAGGAAGAAGGAGGGTGTCTACTTTCACAGCTCGTGGTTTTTAGGAGAGTGGCCTGGCATCACGGCGCTTCGAGTTAACGTGTGGCCACCGTCGGGTGGCTATGTACCGTTAGCTCGAATTCATTCCCCGTTGGCCGGCCCAAGACCCACGCTTACCTACCGACCGGGGGCCATACTCGATCGAGCTCGACTGTCGTATACCCGGAAATGAGTGCGCGTCGTGGCTTGTGCCGT